AACTGATATTGAAGTCCTGATTGTAATTCCTTCCATTATGGGTAGAGTTTAGCATCTAAGTAAAGTAAGTTTCGTCTTCACCGTGTTACGAAATCGGCATTTTACAGTGTGGAAACAGTTTAAGGTAAAGCATATTTAGTAGTAATGAACTTTATCAATCACTTAATAACTCACTCAATGTCTTTTTGTTTACGTATTTACTCTCCCAACAGGAGATAATAAATCCAGACAGCAGTGACGTTTGGAAGACGATCCACTCTCAAGTTCGATTGATTCATGTCAATACTTCACAGGCAGTAAAGGTAGGTACACCAAGAATCAGGGGTTTCCATGACGTTAGTTATAAGCGGCCACTGAAGGTTTAATAGGCGGCTGTGAGCACTAAAATCACTTTTTATTTTCATTATAATGAAATCTAAAGAGACGACGGTAAGAGGTCCTACAGGCGGCGGGTAACCAGCTTTTATTGAAACCCCCGCAAGAATTGAAGTTACTAGTCTTTCTGTCCATTAAAGCAATTTTCAATTAAGCGTCAAAAGTGATCTGGGATTGCATTGGTTTTGCTTTACTTCACTCTGTGATTGGGTAAGAAAACTCTCACCACTTTCTCCGCCAATAAAATCTAAGGCTAAAACCGGTCACGAATTGGTCATCCGCGTTTTCCCGCGCTTTAGACACCTTGGTTCTTTTTACTTAGAGTTCTCATTGGCTCTTAAAGGTATTTTTCTTTCATCTGATTGGCTCTCATTTTGTTTTTACGACGCTCAATCGAAAAGCGCCCTATTGTGTTTAAATAATTTCAACAAAGTTGAAATGGTAAATTGGCCACCGTTACGATTATAAAAGCTGACGTTTCGAGTATTGTGTTTCAAACTGACCGCAGTATAGTTAAGGAGTACTAATTTCGTCCCCATTATTGTGATTTCAATGTTTAGATTTCAGGTATGCAGTTACCGGATTGGGGATTTTACCAACTTGAGGTGTGCACAGATAAATCCATAAAGCAGACAAACACGATCTGGAATGTCGAGGAACATCAACAAAATATTACTTATCGTAAGTTTGTTTTCATGACTTTCTCTTTTCCTCCTTTTCTTTGTCTCTTTATCTCTCTTTTTGTTCTTAAACTTGCGTAATTTTTTACTTCTACCCTTCTCTTTCATCAGTGGCATTTTCGTTGGCCTGTTGAAAACGTATTCAACTGCGCCAGGTCGTCCCATTCTGTGCCCGGGTATTCTTTATTAGTTATTCTTCCTCTCCTTACACCATTTTGTCTTCTTTAGCCGAAGGTCAAGGTCCATTACAAGTCGAGATGAAAATAGACCAGACGGAAAAGGCATTTAAACCTATGCCTTTCCTTTCAAAATTTTGGGAGATCCAGGTAGGTAGAAATTTCTTGTTTCCTATGCTCCACACTGGGCGTGAACATGTTTTTTTTCGCGCTCTCTGTTCTGCTGCATTTTTCCCAAGTGTGTACCCATTTTTTCCAGCACCAAAAGGTTCTACTGTGCACATTATACGATTAAAAAAAAAAAAAAAACAAAGCAATTTATTTGAGATTTTTATAGCGGGTGTCAGAGAAGGAAAGGCACTAAAAAGTTGTCCAGTTGAAAAATTCGAGTGTAAAAGAGTGAACGAACAATATAATATCTAAGTAAGAACAGACACTTAGATTTTGTGGAACTCTCTTGGCCGAAAAAGGGGAGAAAGAGAATGACAGGAAAGGAAACTTAGTATAAGAGCAGCAGACAGCAGTCAGAATCCGCGTTATTCAACTTTAATGAAAGGCAATTCATAAGCCGCCATATGCAGTATGCCTTCAATGAAGCAAAACTGCAGTCAGCTAAATATTTATTACATCCACTGACTGATATCTTCAAAAAGTTTAAAATAGTTTTTTTTTTTTTAGTTTACTGGTTTTTTGTATTTTTGTTTTGTTTTGTTTTGGCTTTTTTTTTCTGAGGAGGGGAACAAAAAAGGAGGAAACATCCATGCAAAATAAAGTAAACATTCATGTTTGGTGTCTACCAATCGTTATGCGTTTTCTTTTTCTTCCTCTGCCTTCGTTGCCAAATTCGTTTCTGGGGTGGTTTAGGTGGCAGATTGGCAGCAGCCCTTCTGTCTTTATACTCTTGCCTGCACAGAGGGAAGAGGGAAGAACAAATAAGTTAAAGACCAAACATTTTCTCAGGATACGAAATGTCAAACACAGTTGTAAAATTAACAAAAATCCCCCGATTAATCTCAAACTGACAAACCAAGACGTTGGATGCAAATGAGTTTTAGATATTTTTCCCAGATGGCTTTAAACACTCAAAATGGTGGCCATCAATATTTTTATTATCTCTCTGATCTCCTACATTTTTGGGCAGTGTCGTGCCTGTTTTGTTTATCATTCCCTTTTCCTATTTTTTTCATCTTGCCTTGCTGGCACTTTGCAGTATTCGCTAGGATGAAAGTATTTTACGCGTGACTGAAAATAGCTTCACCACCAAACTGGCTCACAAAGGCGGATTTACTTGTAAGCGAGAGTTAAACCGATTTTTTTTATGCAAGTGCAAGTGGCCATCTCTCTATTCCGTTCGATATAAAATTGAGAAATCTTCCAATGCAACTCACCATTTTCGTCCAGTGAAGTTCACAATCCTCAAAAGTAACCAGTATGAGAGGAAACCAGCAATCAAGAAACCAAAATCCACAACCAAGCCAGCGAAGAATGTGTAGACACCATCATGCCAGGACAAGAAAACGAACCGAGATAGGACAATTTTCACATGTTCTGTTGAATAAACAAAAGATTTGAACATAAATTTTTTTAATTTTAAACCACTGGAATTGTTTCTGTGTGAGACACTCCTAACTTCCTGTTGGTTTTCTTTCAAATGACTCCCTAAAATTCTCAAAAATTATCGTTGCTAGTCTTGAAAAAATTTACAGTACATTAACAGCTTAAATATGTAGAACTCTGATGGCCATTTCATTTGGATTCGCGCACTTTTACGGCATTTATCGATATTATTTCTCATACAGACCGAGAATGAATCAACTTTCATTGAAGACTTAAATCACTGCGCCCTCAACTGATATCATTAAGGGAAAATAAGCTTTCCACTTACCGTGTAGATAGTCCGTATAAAACTCAACCGTAGCGTCAGTGATGTAGCAGATGACAGGAACAAAGGGTTTTACGATCCACATTACCGCGTCGAACATTATCTGGACCAGATTTACAGCTGTATTCCAAACCATTCCGATAAAGGAGTATCCTCCGTAGATGGTTGCGTCGGCCAACCATTGAATCAAATCCCAGAGAAGCTCGGCCAACCACTGGATGCAATTCCAAGCCAGTGGACCAAACCATGTTGCTCCTCTCCACGTTAAATCTGAAAGCCATCCAAGTGCCGTGAAGATTTTCTCCGAAATCCATGTGGCTCTGCTCCAGGTCCATTCCATAGTTCCAATGCAGATATACTCAAGTACTCTCCAAACTTTACCTGTCGCCACTTTTGTCAAACCACAACATTTCTTCCAAACTCCTTAGATCACCATCATTGCAAACTCCTTGGCCCTAGTCACAGACGTCACTGTGAAGTTCCACATACGGGTTATCAATCCAGGATTTTGAAGCTCGAAAGTCTCGTACACTGCGCATGTCTTGTTTCCAAGGTACTGAGGGATTTTGGTGCATTAGTAGATCTAACAATCAAGATAATTTAGATACGTTTTAACGCCGAAAATGATCACAACCTCAATTCACGTTTAGCTTCGGCTAATAACCTTAACCCTTTAAATTCCAGAAGTCATAAACATGCAACTTCGCCCCATAATGTACATAAATTATCCAGCAAACAGGTAATGAGAATACTCAAACTTATCAGGTGGAAGTTTTGATCTTGTCCTTACACCAAATTCTCAGAACTCATTTCCAAGAAAATGTGAAGCAGCTAGAGGGGAGAATTAAAAATTACATCTTGGGAGTTTAAGGGTTAAGCATTTAATATTCAAGTCATACTGAATAAAAAACAAACATAAACAGAAAAAAAAAAACTTTTTTAAGGTGTGATATAGTAACAGAAGGAAGAAAACCGTAGAAGTTGTTATCCTTGTTCATTTGAATGTATTTAGAGTTGTAACTGTCAGCAGAACACAGAATAGAAACTAGGACTGTAAACTTGTTTTCCCCAGAGGCTGAACTGAGATTCTGTCGTCCGTCAAAACAAATCTACAGAACTAGAATCGTTATCATTATCCTGTGCGCCTCGACCGCTTACGAGTAAATCTCCGGAAGTCATGATATACTGAGAATTGGGAATGGGAATTTAGCAGTGAACATTCCACCAGTTAGCTCTTCTTGTACACCGTTTCCAGGTCGAATTGGAATTTGGAATGTTGGTTTATGTGAAGGGAGGAAAATCGAAAGACCTCGAGAAAAACCCTCGGATCTAGGACGCCAGGTCTGGAAGTCCAACCCGGGCCACAGCAGAGGGGGGCGAGCGCTCTCAACACCGCATCATCCCCGCTCCTCCTTAGCACTGATGATACTTCTTGTAAGAGGGCTCACTTGCTGCCAAAGGTCACAAAATCAATGCCACGGGAGTCATAAGAACCGGAGACTTTATATTTTCTTTCAGTTTGCTCCAGTTTAACTACGCTACGTATGATCAATTGAGGCTAAAGTTAATCGTTGGAGTCGGAAACAAAAGGAAGTGTATACCTCGAGAAGCTTGGGTTTCTGGTGTCCATCGGGTTTGCTGTCAACATCAATGGAGTTTTTGTCGTAAATCAACTTCACATCAAGTTCCATGGACGGAATCTGAATCTTAACCACATGCACCTTTCAATGTAAAAGAAAATTAAACAACTGTCTTCAGAATGGAATCAATTCGCCTTCAATGCATCTCTGACTAATGCCTCATTCACATCAACCTGAACTGTTTTGTCAAACAGTTTAAACTGTAATTTACAAAAGCTACCTACATCAATGTTTGTCGACCTCAAATTTAGCACATTGAAAATACAAGTTAGTGACTAATTAAAACCTATGGAAAATTCTGTTTTTCAGTTCTCTGTATCTGATTTTCATTCAGTTAAACCCAATTTAACTTGACATGTTTTGCTGGTGTGAATGGGGTATAAGTTTGGAGATTTTCAAGCGTTTTTAAACACCGATGACGTAACTGGTAAAAGTTTAATCTATAGCCCAGACATCGTAATCTGCTGTCTACCAACCTTGTCATTCCATTCTCTGGTCAGAATCGTCTGCTGGTTATGATCAAAGAAGAAGAACTCTTGTCTCTCATTGGCTGGAAGACTCCCTGCGTAAAATAATTGGAAAGCCTTTGGTTGGGAACAAACGCCAAGGTTCAAAATTGCAAGCTCTATTCACCATCGTTATGTGCGGCATTTAGGCCTTGTAACTCTGCTAACGTTAACTCTTGTGATAAGATGATGATGAATAACGAACCAGCCGTTGAAAGAAACGTAGAGAAGGTAACGGACTGTTAAGCGCGTGCTTAAAAAAAAAAATGATACAAAAACGTGCACGCGCTGGATGTGGACAAGACTATCTTAGCAACCGGAGACTNAAAAAAAAAACTTTTTTAAGGTGTGATATAGTAACAGAAGGAAGAAAACCGTAGAAGTTGTTATGCTTGTTAATTTGAATGTATTTAGAGTTCTAACTGTCAGCAGAACACAGAATAGAAACTAGGACTGTAAACTTGTTTTCCCCAGAGGCTGAACTGAGATTCTGTCGTCCGTCAAAACAAATCTACAGAACTAGAATCGTTATCATTATCCTGTGCGCCTCGACCGCTTACGAGTAAATCTCCGGAAGTCGTGATATACTGAGAATTGGGAATGGGAATTTAGCAGTGAACATCCCACCAGTTAGCTCTTCTTGTACACCGTTTCCAGGTCGAATTGGAATGTTGGTTTATGTGAAGGGAGGAAAATCGAAAGACCTAGAGAAAAACCCTCGGATCTAGGACGCCAGGTCTGGAAGTCCAACCCGGGCCACAGCAGAAGGGGGCGAGCATTCTCAACACCGCATCATCCCCGCTCCCCCTAAGCACTGATGATACTTCTTGTAAGAGCGCTCACTTGCTGCCAAAGGTCACAAAATCCATGCCACGGGAGTCGTAAGAAGCGGAAACTTTCCATTTTCTTTCAATTTGCTCCAGTTTAACTGCGCTAGTTATTATCAAGTGAGGCTGAAGTTAATCGTTGGAGTCGCAAACAAAAGGAAGTGAATACCTCGAGAAGCTTGGGTTTCTGGTGTCCATCGGGTTTGCTGTCAACATCAATGGAGTTTTTGTCAACATCAATGGAGTTTTTGTCGTAAATGAACTTCACATCAAGTTTCATGGACGGAATTTGAATCTTAATCATATGCACCTTTAATATTAAAAGAAAATTAAACAACTGTCTTCAGGTTGGAATCAATTCGGGTTTTATATATCTCTGACTGACGTATACCTCATCCACACTCACCTTAACTGTTTTCTCAAACAGTTTAAATTGTAATTTACAGAACCTACCTAAATCAATGTTTGTCGACTTCAATTTTAGCACATTGAAAATACAAGTTAGTGACTAATTAAAACCTATGGAAAATTCTGTTTTTCAGTTCTCTGTATCTGATTTTCATTCAGTTAAACCCAATTTAACTTGACATGTTTTGCTGGTGTGAGTGGGGTATAAGTTTCGAGATCTAGATTTCCAAGCGTTTTAAAGCACCGATGACGTAACTGGTAAAAGTTTAATCTATAGCCAAGACATCGTAATCTGCTGTCTACCAACCTTGTCACTCCATTCTCTGGTCAAAATCGTCTCGTGGTTGTGATCAACGAAGAAGAACTCTTGTCTCTCATTGGCTGGAAGACTCCCTGCGTAAAATAATTGGAAAGCCTTTGGTTGGGAACAAACGCCAAGGTTCAAAATTGCAAGCTCTATTCACCATCGTTATGTGCGGCATTTAGGCCTTGTAACTCTGCTAACGTTAACTCTTGTGATAAGATGATGATGAATAACGAACCAGCCGTTGAAAGAAACGTAGAGAAGGTAACGGACTGTTAAGCGCGTGCTTAAAAAAAAAAATGATACAAAAACGTGCACGCGCTGGATGCGGAAAAGACTATCTTAGTAACCGGAGACTTGTTTTCCAAAAAGCGAGCACCAAGTGCTCAGTTGTTAGGGAAATGAGCAATTCTAGCTCAATTAAGGGTTGGCGTAATCTTCCTTGCTTTATCCGTCAACGAAAGCAACTAAACCATTGGTTAGAAGAATGAAATCTGTTTCTTATCAAGAATGAGAATAACACAACATTTCAGTTCTTAAAACCGCAGTATTTTTTCCGCGCACGAAAAACTTCCGAAAAATTTGAAAATTGTTCCCAAAAAACGTTAAACTTACCTTCCAGTCTAGAACCATGTGTAGCATTTGAAAGAAAAAATGCAAATGAAAGCGCTAAAAGCGCAGTCACCCACTTCATCTCCGATTTGTAAAAGAGCTTATTATTTCTCACGAAAAGCGCACACTTGCTCTTGTCGCGAAAACGAGTGAAGTAAATCACTGACATCACAAAAGCACTGTATGACGCAGGTCGCGCGACATAATCACGAAACCTCTGCCCCATGCCACTTAATTCCAGATAGTCGTAAACGCCCATTTTTGGTGATAGCCCATAAGTGGGGGTGGAGATCTTACATCTTTTTTATGCATTTTTGCATGTTACCCGCACTGAACCGCCCGAAAACGGAGGTTCTTGACAACAGTTTCAAAGGTGGATTGTTTTGACAACACATCGTTTAAAATGCTCCGTTTCTTGTGGGGTTTTGAAAACACTCAACGAATTTTCGTCGCATAATTTCACCTACATCTGCGTTTGCGGGTGTCTTCGTGTGGACCATAGACACAAATAATGAATAGAGATAGTTCTTCTTGTCCACTGTTTCCGGGTAGAATGGGAATTCGGAATGTTGGTTTATATGAAAGGAGGAAAATCCAAGGGCCCGGAGAAAAACCCTTTGAGCAAGGACGAAAACTAGCAACAAAATCAACCCACAGGTTACACCAGGTCCGGGAATCGATTCCAGACCCCATTGGGGGGAGACGAACACTCTCATCATTGCACCATTCCTGTTTTCTTTTTCCCGCACTACGGATTTGTCAAATCATCATCTCTGACTTCTTCGTCTGATTCTGTCTGTTCTCATAACCTCTTTTTCTGTTTTTGGTGTTTTTTCGTCAGCCTAAGATGCTAGAATCCACCAAGGAGCTCTCTGCTGAGCACACGTTCGGATCGCGTCCTTCATGGTGGCCTCTGATGAGAAGAGGAGTCGCGTTTTGGATTGCCAGAGACACTAATGTAAACTAAACACTACTGCACTTCACTTTCACAGCGGTCAAATGCATGCGCATGTGCGAACGTTGTGTATGACTAGGTGACGTGCTTACAGGCTGTCAGAACCAGGTTGTCTGACACAAGCTAAAAACCACCTCACAAGCTAGCAAGTCACAGTTATTTTTAGAAGCGCATCACTTTTTGATAAAATTCAAAACAGACGGGTAAATCAAGAGTACTTAAACAAGTCTTGTGATTGAAGAGTCGCGCGTTTTCCTTTTCTCTACTTTTGTTCTCTTTCACAGATTTCCATTGAAGTTTTAATTTTTTTCGTTCATTTTGCTAGACAGCGATTTTTCTTGTATATACTTTGAATCCTTTGGCTTGAAATTGGCATGCGGCCAGCCAGAATTGATCCCCTCGCGCGTGCCCGATGATTGACCGATGTTCTCATTTCACTTTACTTCATCTCATTTGAGACCACAACTGATCCCGGTGTTTTCTCTACCCCAGGCGCAAATATTCTGCATTGGCAACCCTTTTGTATGGTGGGCAACCACTCTTTCCCTTCCTGCGTATTTCGAACTTCTAATTTTTTATTTATTGAGGAGAAGAAGAAAGGTGCACGACTTGTCACGCTGATGTTGATTGAAGACTGGAGGTCTGCAGTGGACAGAAAAGAGCTGGTAACAATATTATCTGCTGACATGAGTAAAGCATTTGACTCGTTAAGCTATTCACTCACTCTAAAAAAGCTGGATGCCTACGGTTTTAATAGCAGTTCACTTGAACTGATTAGATCATTTTTTGATAGCAGGCTAAACAGAGTAAAAATAAATGGCCACACGAGTGAATGGAGAATTATGGAACGTGGTTGTCCTCAGGGATCGTCATTTGGCCCTCTCCTCTGGAACATGTTCCAAAATGATATGGCATTTCATATCCCTGACTCAAACCTTACGCTCTATGCTGATGACCACCAATTATATGTGACAGGAAAAACCTATGAAGAAGTCGAATCTACTCTAGTGACTCAGGGTCAACAAGCACTGTTATGGTATAGGGACAACTTCCTCTTGGCAAATCCAGATAAGTTTCAGTCTCTTACGATTAACCCAAGAAACATAGATGCAGATAAGAAGGGCAGCGTTCTCACCATCGCCAATGACGTGATCAGGAAAACTGAAGAAATCAAGCTATTAGGAGTAAATATAGACAAGAACCTTAACTTTACACAACACATTAGCGAAATATGCACTAAAGCCAGCCAGAAAGTAGGAGTCCTCATGCGCTTGCGTAANCTAGTGGAAGACAGTGGCAACTGCTGCAATCTTTGCACCACGTGATTTTTTATTTTTTTTTATTTTTTTATTTTTTTTTTTAATTATCTGCATGGTACAAGTATTTTTATGTTATCTGAACACTGTTGATATTTCTAAATATTTTAAAATTTTAATGCATAGTTTATCGGCTGTATTGTTACTTATTATGATACTGTACATAGTTTTTTTTATTAATTTAGTAAAAGTAGGTGTCCCCAATTAGCTCTATGAGCTAAATACATTGACACGGTAATAAAGATTTTATTATTATTATTATTATTGTCAGAAGGTAGGTTTACAGAAGTGCTTTTGTTCAGGATTTTGATTTCACACTGTAGGTCGTTCAACTGTCTCTAAAGCAGCCGCACAAATTCCTCTTCCTGACCTCTTCGTAGCATAAAGAGCTAGGCGTACAGCTTTCCACGCAAGTTGCCCTTCTACTTCCTATGCCACCACGGATATTTATCGTAGAGTTTTCTAAAACATTTTATGGAGGTACCGAGATGATAAAATATTTTGTCAATAACATGATACACTATTGAATTTGGCCAGCATTTAACGTATCCTTGCAACCAAAGTAATCTCTGGGAACTTTGAGAGTCAGTCTCATGTGCGCTCTCAACCTTTTCAACTGATAAAAACTCTTTTATGGACTAATTTTGAATAAATATTCATGGGGCAAATTGCACTTGTCTTTCTTAAATGCGTGGGAGAGATACGTGTTCTGCGGTGAAGCGGTGGTTGTAGGATATCTTCTTCACTTCATGACGTTCTTCCCTATGGAGAGAACATTTTTTATTCATCACTACCTCCCCGCCCTGTTCTATAAAATAATTCTTCTCCCAGTGATGTTGCAACACGTTCATGATGAGATCTTTAGGTAAGTTAATGATATTCAATTAACCAGAAATATAAAAGTTGTCAGAATTAGGCGCACTTAACGATAGTAGTGTCTTTTTCCTGTGCAGTTTATTCAATCTTCCTTAAGTAGTGAAATATGTTACTGTTCACTTGATAGAGGTCACTTCAGTTGATTGTCGAAAGTAATCCAGGATTGCACTAAGTTTGCTTTACTCTGCTCTATGATTGGTCCAGAAAACTGGCGCCACACTTAGCATGACTTGGTCGACCGCGTTTTCCCGCGCTTTAGATGGTTTGCTTGCCTTTATGTTGAGTTCTTATTGGCTCTTCAGGGTTAGCTCAATTGGTTAGAACGCCGGATTGTGTTGTGCGGGAGGTCGAGGGTTCGTGCACCAGCCGGACCAATACTCATGGTCTTAAAATAACTGAGGAGAATTTCCTACCTTTTTATAATATCAAGAAATGGATAGATATTCTAGTCTTCTCGGGTAAGGACGAATAAACCGTAGGCCCCGTCTCCTGCAGGGTTAGGGGTAGGAGACGTTTATTTCCCCACCAAGGAGCTCTCTGCTGAGCACA